ATCATATCACACGATACTGCAAATCATCCCGCTCACCAGCGACACGCCGCGTTTACGCCAGCATGTTTCGCGCTCCCCAGTGGCACGGCCACGCAAACGCACTTCCCACCAAGGCCGCGCAAATCCGCATGGCGCTGCGACATCCGCATGGCATGGCATGGCACTGTCAATCCGCTGTGGACTTTGAAACTCCATCAGCAAACTGATTTGGAGTCAAGACTTGGGTGCCAAACTGTTTTGACATTAAACTCCAGCACCAAACCGTTTTGGAAGTCAAACGGTCTTGGAATCAGCAAACAAAACTTGGGTGCCAAACTGTTTAGACATTGAACTCCAGCATCAAACCGTTTTGGAAGTCAAACGGTCTTGGAAGTCAAAACTTGGGTGTCAATCCGCTTTGGACTTTGAAACTCCATCGGCAAACTGGTTTGGAGTGAAGCCTCTGGTGCCAAACTTTTGTGACATTAAACTCCAGCACCAAACCGTTTTGGAAGTCAAACGGTCTTGGAAGTCAAAACATGGGTGTCAATGCGCTTTGGACTTTGACTCCATCAGCAAACTGGTTTGGAGCCAAGACTTGGGTGCCAAACTGTTTTGACATTAAACTCCAGCACCAAACCGTTTTGGAAGTCAAACGGTCTTGGAAGTCAAAACTTGGGCGTCACTCCGCTTTGGACTTTGAAACTCTTTCAGAATCCATCAAGTCCCGGCCTAAGTCTTTGGAGTTCCAGGTGTATCTTGCGCGCACTTCATGTCACAATTTGCAACAAATATATATATATATATAAATATATATCGCACACTTGCGCACATATGCACCGATAGTACCATTCAATACGACCAGCTCCAAAGCCAGCCTTGCGGCTGGTGCAGAGCTGCAGGAGATCGTTGCGCTCCTCACCTCAAAACAGTCACCAGTATCCACAAGCACGCCACTTATAACTATCTCATCTTGTTTCCCCTGGGGCCCCAGCTTGATAGGCTGGCGACTACAGCCTCAATCTCCTCAGAAAAGCCGGCAACGCTTATTATTTTGAGCGCTTCAATGTGTTTCATTCATTATAGGATTGAAAGAACCCCGTTCCAACCCAGCCTCTTCCCCCACCATACCCGTCGCATCCCTTCCCCAGCTTGACGGGAAGAGGTGTCGCACGCGAGGTTCTTCTTCGTTGGTCGACGTGCTTTCCTTTTTATGGGGTCGGTATTCCTATCAAAAACATTAGAGAAGAAACAGTATCCTGTGAGAAGAAGGATCCTTGTTAAATATAACATTTGTTGAGGTGAGTCCACCCCGCGCACAGTGCATCTTCGAGAAGAGGCTCTTGAAGCTGAAGCTCCTGGCTGAAAGGAAAACGTTTAGCAATGTCGGCCTGACCTTCAATCTTGGAGCAAATTGACATTATATCCATGGCTGTTGGGGCCAGCTACTGGGCAAGTTGGCCAAGGGATCCTCCTTTAAGCGAAGAACCCTCGGATCCCATTACGTCGCCTGAGCTCACCAAGAATACTTGTAGGCTCATTGAGTTCAATTATGATGAATTGTTTCTTCTTCTTCCTCATCTCACCTAGAGTTTCGACTCTGCTCAAAAGGTCCGATTTTGCGGGTGACGGAGGAAGATTGCCTACCTAGACGTCCACACGCTGAGGCCCCAGATCAAGTGAGTTCTTTTGCAGAATGGAGCACGTCGTTGAAATTCTTTCGCAGATGTTGTGTTTCGCAGAAGCATTCGAAACTAGAGTTTTGGAAGAAACAACGTCAACTGAACTGTATCCATGCAACCTGACACTTGGGCACTGCGGTCCGCCCTCCTTGGGAGGCTGACGTCGCCGCTCCTGAAGAAGACTTGTTGGCTTGAGTCAAGCCTGCAATCACCACGCCCCAAAAGACACAACATCGCTCAGTCCTGTCTCAAGAGGTGAGCTCGAGCCTGACCACTCTTTCATGTTTGCAAGCGTTTTTTCAACTTGTGCCACAGTTGGTGTGAGAAAGAAAGTGATTTTGTGAAAGGATCCTTGCCCCCCATCTGTAGGGCCACCCCTAAAGAAGTCCAGATCCGGCGGGTGAGGCAAGACCCGGCTAGAAGGAGCAAGTATCACACCAAGCGTCAACCAGATTCATACCCGTTTGTTAACTGATTCCTTCAGGCGATGGCGGCGATGGGCACGCGACATGTGACAAGCAGCACCCATCAACAGGATCAAGTGCCCGAGGTTTCGACTGACTCCTTTGCAAAGTCCATGTGTCGATTGCCAAGGCTCTGCTGCTGCAATTGCCGCGTTCCAGGAGGCACGAGAACGCTGGCCCTGCCACTGCCACTGCCAGAACTCCTGGCAAGCGCTGTCTTCGGTGGCCGGTGGTCCCACCCAGCGGTTGATCACGCTATCAATGTTACAAACAGAATATCGATGAATATCGAATCTGTGGGGCTGAGACACGGTGGATGACTGTCTTGGTCTAGAAGCGTAATTGAGTATCTCTAATGTTCAACGGCCCTTGGAAGGTGAAATTGGACACTGCTGTGTCAACTTCAGCTTAAAGAACTCTGCCGATACCAGTTGTTAATACCCTGAAATGGCATCATCCAGCGAAACTTACGAACCCTGTTCTGCTCCCTGTCATATCAATGCAAAAAACAATTGTGACTCAGGACTTCTCAGGTTGTCTAGAGGCTGAGAGAGCAGCTCTATCCCACGATTGAGTGTGTTGATTTCAAGAGAATCCCTGCCTCCTGAGAATCCTGAGGTTAACAGACTGAGAAGCCGTCGAGAGTTCATCCATGAACTTGCCTTGGGGTCATCAACACCCAGCTTTTTAGAGGAACCTCTGAACTTCAACAACATGCTTGAATTGTATCGCTTCGCATCCTGTTCTCAGATCTCTGCGCCTGACCTGCACCTTCCAGTCCCTCCGTTCGACTCCGGTCCCGACCCCTCCCGACCCCTCCCTGCCGTTCGCCAGGTGGATACGGACGACCCGAGCCAGTTCATCACCGAGGAGCGTCTCTTTTGTCGGGGTGACGGTGAGGGGTGAGAAACCGTGGCTAACCAAAGAGCCCGCCTCCACCAGCTCATGCAGCCGGACGAAGTCATTACCTCATAACGTTCACCAATCTCGGATATCACGGTGTTCCTCAATGTCTCGCATGTCACTTGCAGCTCCTGGGGCCCGAGCGGGACAGCGCCTCTATACCTCATCCGTGGTAATCGCTGATCGCCCAAAATGGGCATTGCGTCACAAACTCCTAAAAAGAAGCGAGAAGAAACAACAAAAGAGGTAACACGCGCGCGTAGAAACGCCACACATGAGAGAGCTAACAATCTCACTAGGGCCGTTAAGGCCGAGACAAAGGTAGTCGGGCAAAAGGAGCAAAAACTAGGGGGGAAACCGGAACAGCACCACCAACACCCAACGCGCCCCGATCCCCCCGGGGTGTGGGTTTAGGGAAACCAAGCAGGAGGAGCACCCACAGCCAAACGGAGCCCCACCCCGAGGAAAAACCTAAAACCCACAATCAGAAGATCAGCAGAGCGGGAAAAAGAAATAGCAGAGAACTCCAACAAGAGATGGAAAAAGAAGAAGGACAAGATAACGAACCCGAAAACACAGGAAGGTACAAGGAGCACGAAGGAGAGGGTGAACTGCGCTCGGCGAAGACGAGACGAAGACAATGCGCAAAGAAGTGAATAAGGCAAGGCGCAAGGCAGCAGCAACGACGCGCCAAACAAATAAAACGGCAACAAAGCATAAACAACGGGACGGCCCCCGTCGTATCAAGTCCGCAGGGGACGGCCCTTCTGGGAACACAGGTGAAGGACGGCCCCTTCACCAAAAACAACAAAAGGCGAATAAACAGCTGCGACCGAACCCCAGAAGCAGTCCTTCAGGAATGGCGCGGTCTCGAGGGGCGACTGTGCCCGGCACTGCCCTCTCGTTTGGGAGACCGGCGGGATTTACCAGCACCCTTGCCACCAGGGACAGCCAAGCAATAAGGTCAAGTAACCCACGGGCAGGACCGGACGGCATATGACGAGCAGGGCGAACACCAACCGGGTGGGTTTTCCCGGCAAGAGGCAAAGGTGGGTGGCAACAGCTCTCGACAGCGATCAGCAAGTTCAGAATTGCGAAAGAGAAGAACAAACTTGGTCACCTTCCGGTGGGTCACGATGTTGAGCTGCCTCCAACGCAGCCGGCCAAATCTTGAGTTCCTGCAGAGTGGCTTCGACGGCCGGACCCATAGCGGTGCCCATGGCCGTGGTGAGGCATCCGAGGAGCCAATTGCCGACCTGAGCCCTCCAAGGCAAGGGGCGTTCCTTAGGTCGTTGATCGGGAGGCAAGCCGGCATTGCGACGCCAGGTAGCCCACATGGCGGCAACCTGTCCTTTAGGCTCACCCCGCAAGAATACCACGATGCTACGGCGGGAATTGGAGAGGCCCACCTGATGGCTAGTCTGCAAAGTGCCCCCTGTATAAACACACATAATGGACGCGCATGAGATGTACACCACAAAAGGAGACATCTTTGCAAATGAATTCTAGTGCGAGATATTTCAACGTCCATCAATCAAAGGGTTGATGAATCATGATGAATTGAAGTACGTTCATGACTCTCTACCAAACCAGGAGGGAAGTCTCATCTTCCACATACTCCACCACTTCTAGACCACTCCACTATGGGCCTCCGACCCCTCTCAGGGGTCGGCGAGCAGCGAGCGCTAGCCCCCGAAATAGGACAGACCCAATATCTCCCTGAATGAACATAACTCGGCCGTTGTTGCGATGGGGCAGTTCAAGTGGTGCTTTTGGGGGGCATGTGTCAGGAGTTGTCAGGTTGCACACCGAACATTCTAGCAACTAATTAGTCAAGTCTACAATATAATCAATATATACATATATGTGTATATTTCAATAATACTTTTTATATAACATATAATCATCTATATATAATCTACATACAAACCAATGAAGGTACCAAACGGCATGGGTTTCTGAGCTCTCAAGCTCCAGGAGGCCAGGGAAGAGAACTTGGCGGCCTGGAAATCGGGAGAGGTGGGACATTCGGGACACCTGGGATGTTTACCCAGGACCAGGGGACTTTGAAGGGGGTGTGTCTTCATAGCATCTTACAAAAAGGAGGTGGTGGAGCGTCCCTTTTTCTCCCTCTTTTTGGAACATCCTACCAACCCCACCCGTGCGTCAAAGAAAGGCTCCTTCTCCAACGCGACCGCTGGGAGGAAAATATCCAGAGAAATTCTGGACATGGTAACCGGTTTTGAAAAGGCCATGTTTTGCTTGACCGCGACCGCGGTAAGGGATAACACCAGAATCGGAAAATCCAGTGAACCTATATCACGCGATGAGCCAAGCTACGTCTCTGGAATGCCTTGAGATATGAAAAAAAATTGCCTCAAAACTCATTATCCTCCGCCAAAAATCCTGAAGAAGGAAATCATCTTTGGCACAAGACACTGAGCACAAACACGGCCATGTTCTGCAAGCTCCAGGCTCATCAACGTCGATCCTGTCAACCTCGCCCTCTCCACGCCTCTGATTCGGTCACGAACTGACCCCGATGAATCACCTCGGCATCTGCCGTCTTGTCGAAGATGCTCGCCGCCTGCGTGAGGCTGAAACCCTGCGCGTGGGGCAGAAACCTGAGGCCCTGAGAGGTAGTGCTGAGAGGAAGTCACTGAAACATGTCAGTGCTGTGGGCCCAAAAGAGCCTAGAGCCTGAGGGCCGTCATTTTCTCGGGAAGAAGCTACCCAAAAAGGATAGAGTAGCTCTGCAAATTGCTCTGTTCATTTCCATGCACTTGGCTGTGGCTGCAGGCCCACAAGGGACGGCGCCTCACTTGCGCACGCAAGATCGCTCAGCATGATGATCTCTTTTTGCTAATTACTTCCACATTACCATGTAACACAGATGCTCTGCGTTTGCATCTGTGTTTGATTGATGTTGTTGGGTTGGGATGGGGGGGTGGGGGGGGGGGGGGGGGTGGGGTGTTAATAACGTCCCTCTGCACATTCATCTACATGATGATCTCTTTTTGCCAATTGCTTCCACAGTACCATGTAGCACAGCAGCCGTAGAGCTACGGCACCCAGAACACTACAAAGCTCTCTCTGGACAAGCTAAAGGTTGGGGGCGTGAATGTGAATGTGAAGCACTTGCAGTACACTCCTCATTTCATTCATTGAATCGTTCATGTATACATGCGTTCCTTCCTTCCTTCCTTCCTTCCTTCATTAATGCATTCCTTCCTTCCTTCCTTCCTTCATTCATTCATTCATTCTTTCATTCATTCATTCATTCCTTCCTATCATTCATTCCTTCATTCATTCATTCATTCATTCATGCATTCATTCATTCATTCATTCTTTATTTCTTTCTTTCATTTTGTTTAAAGTCATCTCATGCATGCATGCATTCATTCACAAATTCCTTCATTCCTTCATTCATCCATTCATTCATACAGCCGAGCAAAATCGAGCAAAGCCGCGTGCACAACCGAGCAAATCCAAGCGCGTGCACAGGCGAGAATATTCCGCGTGCACAGCCGAGGCTCCGCCCCCCACAAGGACCTCCGGCAAAGTCCCAAGTGAAGTAAGACGATCCGTGAAAAAACAAACGATTACAAATGATGACTAAAAACATGAAGACGATCCCAAAGATTATCAATGTGCCAAAAAGGCAGGTCCCAAAATCCGTTCAACATGAAGCGTCGGAGCGCGCCCGTTGGACACCCATCTCCAATGCCCGCAGCAAGGTCTCCTCCAGCCTCGTTGCTTCGCGGACCACGCGGACAGGGCATGGGGGAGGGGAACAATTTTTGTAATTGTTCGGGAAGGGCGCTTTGGATGCTGTGGCTGTCAGCGGATTTTTTGGGCACCAAAAGTTTCAAGAACTGTCAGGATTCTTTTGTGTCCTCAAGTTATGGTTTCTGATTTGCTTCGTCGTCCCTCACCCACCAACTCTGCGGCCATCAGCTTTCAGCACCCGTGCTCTGCGGCCATGCGTTGGCAAAACACATCAGCCGTGGGGTCCTGAGCAGGTCGTGCTGGATGTTTGGAAGGTCTTGGTTCCATCTCAGTGGAGGGTGAGGCGTTGTAGCGGGTGGTTTTACCCACATGTCTGCCATTCAACTGAAACTGAACTTCTGGCTCAAATGAGTGTCAGACCTGGGGGGGGCAACGTGTAGCAGTGTAGCACAAGCGCCTTGGTCAAACCCACTTCGCTCCGAGCCAGAGTCTGCTCCGGTGGATGTCACATGGCGTACACTATGGCTCACTAACATGGAAGTGGATGGCATGGCCCCTTGGAAGACGACTTTCCTTGACAAACCAGGGGGTTTTCCACTTCCCATGTGATGTGTTCGTCGGATGTGTAACCTTGAATGTAACATGTTCCGAATGGTTAAAGCCTTTTCCTTCCCCGTTGGCCTCTCCGGCCCCGTCCTGTGTCCGTCTATCATAGCCTCCCCCCAAACAGGTCGAACAAGCAAATCCGTGTGTTCTGAAAATGCCAAACACCAGAAGGTAAATGCAAAGGACATGCCTCGCTGGCAGCCATGCCCAGCGAATTTGGACAACCACATGCGTGACAGTATGTTACAACCGAACTTTATCCACCCACCAAACTTCGCACGTCCCAACCATGACCGCGAAAACCGACGCCAAGGCCTCGTCATCCAGGTACGAGGCCTCGCCGGTCGTTTCACAAGCAACGATCCGGAGCGGCATGCGTGTTGGACACCTATAGATACCGTTTGTATTCTGTTGTTCTTGGTGATCCTTCCAGTGAATCGCTAGTTTAAATCCAGGCTCCTGTCCCTGTCGCCCCTGTGACCCCTGTCGTCCCAGTGATCATGATGCCCCTCCCCCCCGACAACAACAAGTTGGACGACTTGGAGCAGGTCGTTCCCAACATAGTGTGCAGCCGCCCATGTTTCGCTGGTCTTCTTGGAGGTGCCCATTGAATGGCGCGGGCAAAATACTATATAAGTCATGTTAAACCTTGTTGGCATCTTCTCGTTTCAGCATTGCAAATCCTGCATTTCTCTTGGCCCCAAAGTATCCAAAAGGACTGACCATGCCAGGGCATGCCTGGGCCATCCTGGCGAGGCACATAGAACCGGAACAGCAAAGGGACCAGAAAAGGGCTCTCGAAACCTGTCTTCCTCCGCGAGCATGCCAATGGTTTTCAGGTTGCCAATGTTGCCAAGTGGATAGTTCAAGTTAAAGACACTCTTGAAAGTTGCATGTTAACCTTCAGCAGCTTTTAGGCTACAAGTTACAAGGTTACATGTGAATCATTCTCGTCTTCAGGCTGCCCACTGATCTTCAGAGGTCTTTAGGGAATCCATCGGTTCACCCCTTCCATCCACGTTTAAGACACCCCCATCAGCCCAGCCGCCATGGACGCTTCCATGCACTCGGCGGCCTGAAGGCGCAAAGGTATCAAAGAGGGCGTGTTCAGGAGGCACCCCGATTCCAACTCCATGCTGCTTGGATTCTAAGATTTTTCACCAGGTCCCGATCTGTACATCGCATGGAGTGATCTTAGCTGGCGCATCCATGGCGTAAACAAACTCCGACGTGGCGGGCGTCTCGGCATCTCTCGTGGCGAGCGTCTCGGTGGCTCTGTGACTCTCCGGACACCGGTGCGGAGCGGCGACTTCGAAGCATCCGACGTGAGAAACCAAGCAGTCTGGCATTCTGCTGCTACAGGGTGTCAAGAATAGAAGTGTGAACATCTCACTAGAACCAGGCTGATCAGTTTGGCCGATGTGTGGAAGGCGGGATAAGCAAATCAAAACCACCCACAAAATCGGCCCCAGTGCCCTACCTCGATTGCGTGAAGTTGTATGTATAGATAAGACATTATAAAAGCACTCCCAAGCTCCCAGCACTATCCATCAAATGGCGCTCAACACCGAACATCGAACCATACGCCCCCGGAAACGAACCCCCAACGATGAAAAGGCCTTCTGAAACCCCACAGAAGCGGCTGGGAACTCGAGCCACAGCATGTGACGGCCAAAAGCTCTGCGCAGTAGGTTGTACCCCCCACTACATGGACCCTGAGAATGACATGGGTCAATAGACCATTCTCCTCTACAACCTGGTGGAGAATGGAGGTCTGTGTTAATCTGCAGGGGAGTACGTGTTTGGGGGTCTCCGGCTCCGAAGCAGTTAGAACCTCGCGTCTTCCAATTATTCCAAGAATGGAACTGCCATCAACTACCTCTGCCAGAATCTCGACGTACAACTAGAAACGTTCCAATCTCTGTGGCTCGAAGAATTTCCTGGCAGTTGAAAGATCTGCAACCATGTTCTCCGGAGATGCTCCCTGGAAGAAACGCTGGCGAACACTGATGAAAACATATGAAAACCATGTTTCAACAACTGCGCACTTGCCTAAATTCTCCCAAACCAGCGGCAAAGTCAAAACAGGCCACCATAATGTTGACAATGTTCTGGAATGGTTTATGGCGCATGACATCACCATACAAGTGAAGACTGCAACCGCTCGGGTTCCAGTTGCTCGTTGCTACACTCTGACTCATTAACATCGAAGTGGAGACTGGCCCCCCCCAGAAGCCCATGTTCCTCTACAAACATTTCATTTCCACTTCCATGCATCCTCTCACCACCCTCTCACCACCCTCTCACCACGCCAAGTACGTGCTCATGTCGAATATCCATGTTACTTCACCAAGGACAAGCACACGGCACATCTTGTACTCTCCTGGTTAACACCCAAACTGAACACACAAACAGACGGGGAAAGCTAACAAACCGTGATGCTTGGAGTTCTAATGTAGAGGTTTAAGTTTAGAACCATGTGTTGGGTCCAAGAAACAAGACTAGCGATGGTGGTATCTTCCCTATCGTATACTGGCGTTGCTCCTACCATCCCTGTTTGCCACATCCATACTCCTCCACATCAGAACTTTTTCTGACCGTGTGGCAGTTCCGAGGTTCTGTTACAAGCAACGAGCCCAGCTGTGAGGTTCACGCTGATCTGACATGCGGCCGCGCGCGGGCACGCTATGTCGCGCCTGCAAGCCACTTGAGCCACATGATCATGGAGCTCATGAAGCGTTATCAACCATTATCATTCATATCCAACTGGTCTTTTGGAAGGGTGTGTTCTCAGGTTGGAGTCACATAGAGTGGGACTAGCACCAGGTCACGGAAAAAATGGAGAACAATTGTGAAAAGGCTGAATGCAATGCCCACTCGTCATCGCACGGACAGGGACATTTTATCAGGGACTTCGTCACAACAAGCCAATTCCCCTGGTGGCTATGTCGGCTATGAAGTCTCCGTCGACCACCTGATCCTTTAACCTTCAGACTGTCCAAAAAGAAAAGAATGCCCTCTCCGGTGCGACGATGCCCAATGCATTCCATGCGTATTACTATAGTATATTACTATATATTTGTGTCATATCAGAGGATCGATGGCTATGATTACGCATAGAGAGGGTGTGTGTCTACAAATTATGGAGTCCTTGGCCACTCCTCTCTCCACTTCTGTTTGCATTCTTGTGTCCCATTCTCATTGGTAAGGAACGAAGCGCCATACAAAGCCCAGGTTAAGCAGTCATACGATAATTTAGATGTTTCATGGGTTTCCATTTGTGGAGGGAATGAATACAATGAATACACACTTTGTGATCGTCTTAGGAGTAGTGGGACGAACCAAGCGTGATATGCCGATGCTGAAGCGGCAGGTTTGGGTGGGCAGGGCATTTTGCTCAGAAACAGCTGCAAAATATACACACTCCCTGGAATAATCATGGAAGTGGATGGCCTGGCTTGTTGGAGGACTATTTTCGAATACCAAACAGGTCGTTGTCCACTTCCATATTTATTCCGGGGAGTGTATACACCAACAATGATGGACAAGGCCCTGCCCTCACCACAGCAGTCTGAAGACTGCCACTGTCCTGCTCGCTGCAATGTCAAACTTGCCATCAGGTCAACCATAAGCCACATACACGAGAGCACGATTGAAACTGGGATTTCTCGCGCAACCCCTGCTTACCAAGGGGTAGTACAAAGGGCATGATCAACGACGACGTGTTCTGATCAATTGATCCAAAGACGTGTGGGTTGATCCAATCCTCCGGGCACTGGTCGAGTGCCAATGCAGGAGCATTGAAGGAATCTTAAAACATCTTAAGGCCTAAAGGGGACAGCATGTGAAGTGCAGGATCAATTCACACCTCTTTGGAGTGTCAACAGTTGCGTTTGAAGCTGCAGGTACTTCAATTGATGTCCTTTCAGTGATTTTCCAAGAAATTCTCCATTCATCAAATTCTCCGTTCATGTCAAGAGTCGTCTCTGAATCAACACCCTTACAGTCTGGGGACGTCTGGCCCTTCAACAAATGGCTTCAGAAACTGCTTCCACCTAGGGCGGCGGATGTCAGCGGAGTGTCACGTCGGGGTGTCGACGGCCAAAGAATCCAACCAAGGACATCAGGTGAATGTGTCAAAATAGAGGAAGGGACACCAGGCCCAAACGCCACCGTCCCCCGAAGGGACGCTCTTGTGCTTCTTCGCAGGAGGTCCGAGGGAGGCATCCGAATTGAATTGCACTGGACTGAAGAAATACGCAAAGGCAACTGCAAATGAAACGAAAGGCACCTCCAAAACAGAAGCAATGGAAAACCAGAAGTCCTCAACACATTCTCCGCACCTGGAGTTCCGGGCTGGACATTGGACCGGTGAGATACGGTGAGTGGAGCATTGTGGCACGCAAAGAAGCTCCTCCAAGAAGCACCCCCTGCCAGGAACTCCTGCCAGGGATTTCTTCCTTTTCTATCCTTTTCTTGATTGATTTGTTTCTAATAGCGATGGCCTCCACCTAATAGCCATGGCCTCCAACCTCATAGCCAACTATATTTGACCTTCCACACAGTCTGTCGTCAGGTCGTTGCACATCAGACCTCTCAGTTCTGAACACCAACCATCCGGGCCCCACCCAGAACTGGGCTTCCAAGCCATTTGTATCCATTTGTCATGAATTCCTCACAAAGAATTCCACATGTTCACTTTGGATGCGAAACCTCTCAGTCAAACACACTGGGGCTCGGCCAATCGCCAAATGTCTAAGCGAACTTGCGAAGCGTTCGCTGCAAACTGCTGCAAACCCTTTGAATCGGAGCGAGCTCGGTCCTCACTCTCCTCCATTGCATGCAAAGCCTCGCTGATCGGGAGGAGAGGCGGAAGGAGGAAAGGCTCCTCATAGATCTGGATGAACTTTAAAGCATTCCCCTGCCACAAAGATGTTGGTCTCTTTTGCTAATCTGTCTCGGAGTGCAGGAGTTACAGGGGGAGCTACATTGAGCTACTAAATCTGTGAGGCTCGAGCAAAGAACCTGCTCTGTGAGAGGCTCGAGCCGGGGTGAAGGGCGGATCACTTCCACAACTCCTTGATGAAGTGGCACATCCATTGGTACTCAGTTCAGTTCAACCAAATAATCTTTAAGAAACGAAGGACTCAATCAATGAAGCAAAATGTAGAAAACTTAAACAATTGGAGCGGAGGATCGTGTGCAATGTGCACCTTATCTTTTTAAAAGAACAAAGTTCATAGTTTCGTCGCATCTTGAGGCTGGCTGGGCCCCCGAACTCGCTTTAAGCCGTGCAAGCAAGGAGGCCATCGGCCCAACCTGCAACGCCGATTGAACGCTTCGAGCGAAGCTCCGGGCGTTGACACGAAGGGAGGGATCCCCGACGCTGGAAGATTGGCACCTGGAATTGCAGCTAGAAAGTCCACCGTAGTTTAAACAGGCATCGCGGCGATGCGCCGCAGACGCTACGAACGGGGCTCCGATCGCATCGCAGCATCGAACCGTTCGCGATCGGACGCTACGGAGCTGGCATCGCATCGCCATAGCCCCGAGATTCTCCAAGGAAAATGCCAGAACGTTTCTGTGTGCCGGTGTGGTCTCCCCGCAGGTCGGGCAGAGCAGCCCCTTCTCCGTCCCGGGGGTCCAAAAGAAGTCGTGTGAAACAAAGGGACCCAAGGGACCATCCTCTACGGTGGGCCCGCTGCTTACACGCTTGCTCCAAGTCTCTACAGCCAGGTTCGTGCTGCCTTAGCCTCGTAGTACCTTTGAGATAGCCTCGCCAAACGCCCGTGAATTCTACGATTCTACGATCTCCACACAAGCCCCCTGTGTGCACTTAAAACTTAAGACTCTGCCCATCTCTTCGGGGACCCCTAACCCACACGGCAGCATCTGCCTTTGAACCCACCCCCAAAGCCACGACTGGGCTCCACACGCAGTGAATCCCTAAAGGAGCCACTTCTGATGTCCTCCTGAGCGCCGCTGGCTGTAACCCTGTACGAGTAGGAGTGAAGTGGGATGAGCGGCCAGGACCAGCGATGCTTTTCAAGCCCCTCTCTCTTGCATGAACCGCAGCTTCCGTCAAGTTCACTTCGGGCATGTCCCCAGGCACCAGCTACACGATCCAAACACAGCTCCACCTAAAATGAAAAGTTGCTCAGCTGTCTCGACCAGCCTGCTCAACTCGGCTCAGCTGTCTCGACTGAACCTCTCTCCGATTCATGGATCTGGACCAGCAGTTCAACAGCTCCGATCGTGAACCCACCAATACAGCTCCAGTGAGCTGAACAAGATGGAAAAACAAAAAACAAACACGTACACAGTACCGGGTCACCCTTTTTTTTGTAGGGCCAAGACTGAAACGCGGTCGACGTGTTTCATACCACCAAGCAAACCCAGTCACTCGCCCTGACACGCATGCGCGTAGGCGTGTGTTTGGCGCCTGTAAGCAGCGCAAACCCATTTTCACAATCCAGGAGGTGAACGTTGCAAAGTTCCCCTGCGTGCAAATCAGTCTGGCATCAGCGACATCAGGCATCCCATGTTCCGGCACCCAGGGGTCACCCTCAAGTCCTCACAATCATCCAGCAAAAAGATTTGCTCTGGGAACCCCCTAAGGCCCTAAGTATGACTTCGACACGGTGCCAAGGTTTGTGCTACTATCTATCTTCATCCACCCTCCTACAGGTTAACATGAATGCCCGAAACCACCGGGTTGTAAAGGAACATGCGTTAATTTTCTGGATCCAAGTTAGTCTGCAGGGGGTATCTTCTCGATTGGAAACCCCATGTAGGCATATGTAGGCTCTTAATTGTATTTCTGGATTGTAAAACCTCTTCCGGCTCAGGGGGTTGAAACATGCTCAAGATATGCCCACCGACTGCGTGTGTTGGAGAAATTTGGAAGGCCCAAATGTGTAGGTCACTATCCTGTTTCAATCCGAATGAAATTTTGTTTAAAATTAAGCTACACTCCCTGAAACAATCATGGAAGTGGACAGTGGCTCCTTGGAAGACTACTTTCCTCTACCAAGAGGGACTTGTCCACTTCCATGATTGTTGCAATTCCTAGTAGCGTCCTTGTTCCTAGTAGTACGGCCAGGAGCCCCGTTCGTAGCGTCCTTGCTCCTAGTAGCGATGCCAGGAGCCCCGAACGTAGCTTCTTGTTTCTAATAGCTTCTTGTTGCGTGCGTAAGGCCAGGAGCCCCCCGTGCCGTAAAGTCGGTGGGCACAGACGGGCTTGACCAAGTCATGTAGACGGTTGATGAGAAGGAACACAAGCAGAAGTCTATCTTGGGGCTTTGAGTTTGCGATTCACGAGTTGAAAGGGAAAGGAATTCATGTCATTGGACACGAATTGCCGATGGATCTGACATTTCAGTATATTTCAGTACTCATTTCGGCATATAAGTGTACAAAACATCCACCCGTTAAAAACTCCAATGACCAACACATCAATCAACGCTCCTCGCCCGGAGCAGCACGGGCGCGTCTGTCGCAGTCGGAACAGCTCTCCGCCTGCTCCGCCTTGTCGTCCATTTGCTGCCTCACCGTGTCCCCCACATGATTGCAACGGATCAACACGGGGCCAAAGCACTGACCGTCACGGTTGAATTTCTCAAGACTCACAGTGAAGACATGTCCATCTTTGGTACTGTCTATCCCACCAGGGCCCAGTGGATGATGATTGCTGGGTTGCAGGCCTCTCTCAAGAATAGTGATCAGCTTTTACCGACTATGGACCCCTGTTCCGTTGTCCCGCGATTGCACGGCCACCGTGAAAATGAGGTTCGGTCAGTTGAGGTCCAACAGTCAAACCTCTCAACAGAATGTCTTTGAGTGTAGCTGAGTAACAAAAAACCTGGCAATCCACATCACTCCGCCATGATTGGATGATGATCAAGAGCCATGCCCTTCCAGTGGTGGATGCCATTTGCAAAGAAGGTGCTCTCTCATCAGCCTGCACTCCTCTCGTTAACCTGAGGTGCACTCCTCTCCTTCTAAAGCGCGGCAGGGGTTGGCCAGAACATGCGACAGCGACACGAAGCGCCATTGAAGCGCGGTTCTTGTCCTCACGATCCATCAAGTTATCCCATTCATCTGATAACACTTGGCTCGGACTACGCATTCACTGACTCATACTCCTCCATTCTCTCCAGCTCTTCTCCCCGCCATCTCTCCTGCCTCTCAATGGCCAGTTGAAACAAGTCCGCCGATGCATCGGTCGGGTTCGCCTGGCGGTGTTCTGGAACTCGGCGGAGTGAGTGGTGAGTGGTGTGGAACTCGGTGGTGTGGTGTTACAGACCGGCACGTGGCCGGCCTGGACCAATGAATTCACCCAACTCCGAGCAACTATTGGTGCCCCCCAAAGATCACATCAAGCACAAGGAATTCACCAAGTTTATCACGTCACAAGGGGTTGGGAGTTCCATTCCCGTGGTCGCGGAGACCACCGGCAACGGAAGCCGCTCCTTCCTGAGCACCAAGGCGCGGGTCAGTTCTTGGGTTAACTCATGTCAACCCTCTTGGGCCATGCACAAGCTGTGAGCATGGGTCACGGATCATGGAGTGTGGCAGTACCAGGGGGCAAGTGAAAGCGGTCCATGATCCCCCACTGAGGGTCTCTGGCTGAAAGGTGGGTGTAGCAGTTAAGCAGCATGAGGAAGCTGATGACCCCTTCGACTCATAAATGTAGGATGTCTCCCTTCAAAGAGTGGGCTTATGAAGGGAACTCTGGATACTTGCATTGACTTACAGGCTATAAATCTCTCTCTATAATTGTTATATTTATATATGTAAATACACATATGACATGGGTGTGTGTGTGTGTGTGTCCATCATAGGCCATCAAGCTCGGCTTTGCTCGCATTCCATCTCGGCACCTGTGTGCCGCGCAAGCGTCTCATGGCGTGCTGCTTGGGTGGCTCCGACCTCAGCAGGTCCGGCCGAAGATCGCTGCAGAGAACGGCCGAAGATCCCGCTGTTTGGTCCAAAACCTGGTGATCTGGGGAAGGACCGGACCGGGGGGTTGGACCTTCCACTCCGCTAAGAAGGATAGTGTATAGGTGATGGGTGTGGGACTGGAAGCGACGCACGACACGACCTGTCGGACGCACGCATCGGATTTCTATACGGGGGTGGTTGAAAAGGGGTCAATGTGGGCATATATCATATACCATCATTAAATTCCATACATGGAGTGTCGGGGAAATAGGGAGACCTCCCAAGTGTTCGGTACGCCCTTGGTCGGAAAATAGACCAAAACCATCCAAAACCCGGCCAGGGCCTGGGGGTCTCCGGGATAATTTAAAATACACACCCATTTGGTGCCTTGCCCACGACAGGGCAGTGGGTCACCAGGAGAACGACCGGTTGACCACCAAAGCCTAAACAGAATGAACTATCAGACGAGTGGCTCCAGGTTTGGACCCACAGCCACGTCATGCCACATCAGTCCCACGGTAAGCTCTTCCCTAACAAGTTCCCAGCTTTTGGGCGGCACGGGCCCATGTCGAACCAGCTGCGGGACAAACCTCTTGTTCCTGTACCGGTGTCCGGAAAGAACCGGCGTCGCTTCACGAAGGCCTGCTTTCGTCCCGAACGTCCATAGTCCACGCCGTCCAAGGTCAAAAACAGCTCTTTCGCCGAGCAGGTCCGAGGATCATGGGTCAAGCCTCCATTCTGAACTGCATATCGTTGGGTCGAAAGGCACTCTCCTACCCAGCTTCGTCCTTCGTCCCGACCAAAAACCCGATGGCCCCGGACGGTGGGGAAGGCGTAATGCCACAGCGTGGTGGTGGCGGTGGGAGCGAGTCAGGCCTCGGACTCGGGTCACAGGATGTCACAGGGCTTTCAGGCGGCTGGACTTGAGACTGGCGACTTAAGATCTCCAAGTAGGAAGTTTTGGGATGAAATGGTGAGTCTAATAGACTGGTGGCTATAGTGAGTGGGAGTGTATCTCGACGTAGTTGGCCAAACATTGTGGATTCTTGGTATGTAGGTGCCCCCGAAGCTGAGAGTGAGTGTGGTACCCTGCTCTATATTTGATTTAGTGGCGGTTCCTGCGGGGTCTTGCCGAAAACAACACGCTGCAGCTCCAGCTGCAGTGGCGGACACTTCCAGACCTGGTCCCAAGACAAGGGGGTGCCCAGAGACCCGACTCCATCTACGCATCGATGCTGCTGGAGACGCATCGTGTCTGACAGGTATAAGCCAGCAATCTAAGCACCCCCTGCATAAGACCCTATAACGATGCTGGGTCCATTCAATCCTTGAGCAAGGAGTTCGCGGCAGTTGGGGAGGAACCCCCTTTCATCCCACTTGTTCTTTCTGGCCATCTGTGCTGGTAGTGCCAAGCCTTTTCCACAACCGTGCTTAAAATGAACTGTGAGTAAACTTGTTTCAACTCACGTAGTCTGGTGAAAGATTCACACACACAACAAAAACAAATCAGAACCGCCACCTGGGGAAAAAAACTTGGACACCCAGGTTCCCCATCCTCTCTTATCCGTCTGCCCAGTGGGTTTCAGCTGGTTCCCCCCCCCGCCTCGGCTCTCGGCTCTGGCTCTGCGGGTCCGTCCTTCCCGGCCCTGTTCGCCCCCCCGGGACGTCCGGCTTCTTCGTCACCGGTGCCGGACCCGGCGCTCGGAGGGGGCGAGGCACTTGCTTCACATACCAACCTCGGTGCGGAACAGGCGGAGCTCGGCCCACTGAGCTCGGTGCGGAACCAAGAAGGTTGGAGATGGCATGGGCGGCATGGGCTGCGGGCTGCGCTAGACCGGCTGCTCCAAGAATTGTGGTATGAATTTGGTGAGTTGATGAAATAGAACCCTCCATCAATGTAGATTGTAAAGCCACTTCACATTTGCCAAGCCGGGGGAACGGCTCTGGGGCCTACACGGCCTACACTCTACTCACCAACGTTGAAGCAGAAAATTGTCCCTGAAAGACTACTTTCCTCGACAAACAGTGCAGGGCAATCCACTCCTTTCTCGCAATGTCCAAGCTCAAGTTCTCTGTGAAGTGAGTGTAATGATGCACCAATCGTCTCCATGCTTCATCTTTGTTCTTGCCACGTCCAAGGCCACACTTCTATACGCCTTCTCAAACATTTATAGTTTGTGACATCATTTACTCTGGAACCACTGCAGTCGTTTTGATTCGGATATCGTTTGCCTTTCATGAAGCTCCATTCGCGATGTCGATGTACAGCCACTCACGTTTGACAATGTGAGAAGCCCCTCACTTGCGAGGCATATCCACATGCACTCGCCAGTTCCTGCCAGTTCCCAGGGGATCCCGCACCAGATCGGACCGTGGGAACCGCTGAGAGCTCGACCGATCTCACTGTCGAAGAGTTTGAGGGAGGTTGTGCCATCATCCTTGTTGGCCGCTCCTGACGATGGTCTACTCAGTCATGAAAAATGGACTGCCTTGAACCTTTGGAAGGAGATGAACCCTATAAACTTCCATGGTACTGAGTTGAGGCGTATCTGTGGTATCTGCAAAAAAACATGTGGGTCGAGGAGCCCCGTCGAAATCAGTGCTGAATCATGAGAATTGTGACTGACAAAAACCGAGACAAAACTTGTAAAAACCATGGTTGAACCCAAACCAGCCCGGAAATAGAGAGCCCCCGCTTCGCGTTCTCTGAAGGCACCCCTGTTTCAGGAAAGAGATTCTACTTCCATGTTAGTGAGCTGGAGCAGACCTCAGCCCCAGAACCAGTGAATATAGAACCCGTGATCCAAACCACTAAATAAATATTAAATATATAAATCCAAATGAGCTTCTTCAACGGTGTTTGGCCTCACGTTCTCACTCCTTGTCAAACCGGGTCTTTCTCCGTTTCTCCGTTGGGCCCCGCCACCGAATCTATCCGGCGCGAGACCGATGCGGCCTTCGTAGACCGTCGCCAGCGAAAGACTCCAGGACTTCTTAGAGATCTGTCGCGGGGCGGCGGTCACGACGCAAGTCGAATCGGTCACGATGTTCACGGTGGGTCTCCCCCTGGTTGGGAGCCCCAGAATCGAACAAGGGGCGGAAGCTGCTGTCAGGATCCTCACGAACTCATGAACCAATCAAGAGTCGCGAAAACCAAGGATGCAGGGATTGTGTGCCGGGCCCTATTTCCGCACAAATCTGCCAAGTACAGTGGTCAGTGGTTTCAGAGGTTCGATGTCACAATGACAAGTTACCCCAAGTTCGATGGTTGATATATATATATATATATATGGATCCCCCCATCCAAAGAACATCTCGGTGTGCCAGTGCCATCGAACCTCTGAAACCACCATCTCCACCGGGTTGTGCCCCTCCGTCCGTGAACAGCGGTCAACTCCCCGTCGGTCCGTGCCCCTCCCGTCGCTCCGTGCCTTCCGGTAGTGTCGGCTCCGCTCCATCGCCTCCGTGTTCCAAAAGACCCGACCCAGTGGACGGGGGAACTCCAAAGAATGTAGTGTGTATAGCGACATACAAAACCCAAATATGTAGATGATTACACGACGTGTAGACCAGCACCTTCATGTCGGGGTCACCTGGCTGGTTTCGCCCCTACACTACTTTTCGGGACCTCTGATTCTGGATCTCCATTCAATCAACCCGGAGACGCTTGAAGACCATGAATAATGAATCACCGAATCACAATCATTATGTATATTGAATTCACTGGTCCCAAGATCCTCAACTTTTTGGCTCGAGCACTCGGCTGTGCTTTGAGAACTTCCCGTGCGGCGAACCAAGGCCCTCCCCCGACCCTCTGTGGCGTGAGGACCGAACTGAAACCAGCGATTGAAAACTGGGGCCGTAGAGTTTCAAATCATCGGATGGGTGGCATGTTGAGTTCCAAATTGGCCGGTGACTTAGAATATCTTGTCACATCAAGCGTCTGCCCCGAAAGTAGACCCATGCCAATCCCATCAAACCATATCAAAACTGGTTCCTGAACTCCCATGGTCACGGGTCAGAATAAACTGCCCCATGAGCAGCTCTGGCGACCTGACCAGCCCATGGCGAATGCGCTCTGGCGACTGCACGCGCCGGATGGCCGTGCCTTCTTAAGCTGCTGCCGGGCGATCTTGGCTGCCTCAGCGAGCGGAAGTTCCCACCGGAAGTTCCCACCGGTCGCGGACGCGTGTGGTTCTCGGAACCCACCTCTACGGGTTGACCTCACTTGACTGCAGTTGATCATAAAAGAACATACTCGATGATTCAATGAGGTTTTCATGACCAGGTTCTACTGAGTCTGATCTGTAGGGAATTTTGTCAAATGAGCATAGAAATACACTGCCATGGTATTGGTGAATCATGGTGAATTGATTTGGGCTCGGCTCTACTTTTTCGTTTTGAAACTCTGGTATGGCCAGGTAGTTTACATCATCAATCCTCCATACCGTGATACTTGCAGGTTGAATCCGGACACTCCACTCATTGAAACACGAGGCTGCTCAGGTCGATAAATCCTTTATTAGCAATTCTCCAATGGGCTCAATAAACAAACAAGATCCAGAAACACTCAGACAACTGATCTACGATGACTCTAGAACTTCAAAAGGTTTCGGCACAGGTTCCCGGAACATGTTCCTATGCGAGCCATTCCGACCCTAAGCTGGGTGGTTGACAGAGATGGCACCACTCCCCGCCCCGGGAATGGGGAACAGCTTGCAGAATCCCACTTCCTTCACGATCTTTACTTGAGGCCAAGGGGGGGGCGAAAGCTAGCGCTCCAGAATGGGAAAGTGGAGGGCAGCGAGGTAGGAAAAAACACGGCGCTCTTTTTGGAGGCAGGGGTGAAGAGTCCTTTATATGTGGCTCTTTGCCCGGATCCTCCTGCGAGAGAAGAGAGAGAAGAGAGACGGAAAGACGAGAGACAGAGAGGAGAGAGAGAGAGAGAGGAGAGAGAGATGAGAGAGATGAGAAAGAGATGAGAGAGATGAGAAAGAGATGAGAGAGATGAGAGAGACAGTGAGACAGTGAGACAGTG